AATTAAAAAATATGTATTACAAGCTAAACAATGGCCGTTTGCAGTAGGTAGGTTTCGAACCTACGCTACCATGGAGAATCTGATTTCTAGTCAGAAACCTTAACCGACAGACCAGAGCTAAATCTGGCATTATATTGTTCTAAATGCATGCACTCAAACCCCATAATTGACAAAATTTTCTGGACTGGGCTGCTAATTAGAAAAATTGTATTTCAAGCAAAACAAATGGTCGTTTGCAGTAGGCAGGTTTCGAGCCTACGCTGCCATTGAGAATCTGATTTCTAGTCAGACGCCTTAACCGACAGACAGGGCTAAATCTGTTTGAAAGTAGAAATATTTCTGGTGATGTGCCATTTGAAATATAAGGGCATTATATTGTTTTAAATGTATGCACTCAATCCCCATATTTGACAAAATTTTCTGGATTGAGTTGCTAATTACAAAAATTATATTTCAAGCAAAACAATGGCCGTTTGCAGTAGGTAGGTTTCGAACCTATGCTGCCATGGAGAATCTGATTTCTAGTCAGACGCCTTAACCGACAGACCAAGGCTAAATCTGTTTGAAAGTCGAACTATTTCTGGTGATGTGCTATGCGTTGAAATATAAGTCCATTATATTTTTATAAATTTATGTACTCAATCCCCATATTTGAGAAAAATTTCTGGGCTGAGCTGTTAATTAAAAAATATATATTTCAAGCAAAACAATGGCCGTTTGCAGTAGGTAGGTTTCGAACCTACGCTGCCATAGAGAATCTGATTTCTAGTCAGACGCCTTAACCGACAGACCAAGGCTAAATCTGTTTGAAAGTGGAACTACTTCTGGTGCTGTGCCATGCGTTGAAATATAAGTCCATTATATTTTTATAAATTTATGTACTCAATCCCCATATTTGAGAAAAATTTCTGGGTTGAGCTGTTAATTAAAAAATATGTATTACAAGCTAAACAATGGCCGTTTGCAGTAGGTAGGTTTCGAACCTACGCTACCATGGAGAATCTGATTTCTAGTCAGAAAACTTAACCGACAGACCAGAGCTAAATCTGGCATTATATTGTTCTAAATGTATGCACTCAAACCCCATAATTGACAAAATTTTCTGGACTGCGCTGCTAATTAGAAAAATTGTATTTCAAGCAAAACAAATGGTCGTTTGCAGTAGGCAGGTTTCGAGCCTACGCTGCCATTGAGAATCTGATTTCTAGTCAGACGCCTTAACCGACAGACAGGGCTAAATCTGTTTGAAAGTAGAAATATTTCTGGTGATGTGCCATTTGAAATATAAGGGCATTATATTGTTTTAAATGTATGCACTCAATCCCCATATTTGACAAAATTTTCTGGATTGAGTTGCTAATTACAAAAATTATATTTCAAACAAAACAATTTCCGTTTGCAGTAGGTAGGTTTCGAACCTACGCTGCCATAGAGAATCTGATTTCCAGTCAGACGCCTTAACCGACAGACCAAGGCTAAATCTGGCATTATATTGTTTTAAATATATGCACTCAATCCCCATAATTGACACAATTTTCTGGACTGAGCTGCTAATTACAAAAATTATATTTCAAGCAAAACAATGGCCGTTTGCAGTAGGTAGGTTTCGAACCTACGCTGCCATGGCGAATCTGATTTCTAGTCAGACGCCTTAACCGACAGACCAATGCTAAATCTGTTTGAAAGTCGAACTATTTCTGGTGATGTGCTATGCGCTGAAATATAAGTCCATTATATTTTTATAAATTTATGTACTCAATCCCCATATTTGAGAAAAATTTCTGGGCTGAGCTGTTAATTAAAAAATATATATTTCAAGCAAAACTATGGCCGTTTGCAGTAGGTAGGTTTCGAACCTACGCTGCCATGGAGAATCTGATTTCTAGTCAGACGCCTTAATCGACAGACCAAGGCTAAATCTGGCATTATATTGTTTTAATTATATGCACTCAATCCCCATAATTGACACAATTTTCTGGACTGAGCTGCTAATTACAAAAATTATATTTCAAGCAAAACAATGGCCGTTTGCAGTAGGTAGGTTTCGAACCTACGCTGCCATGGCGAATCTGATTTCTAGTCAGACGCCTTAACCGACAGACCAATGCTAAATCTGTTTGAAAGTCGAACTATTTCTGGTGATGTGCTATGCGCTGAGATATAAGTCCATTATATTTTTATAAATTTATGTACTCAATCCCCATATTTGAGAAAAATTTCTGGGCTGAGCTGTTAATTTAAAAATATATATTTCAAGCAAAATTATGGCCGTTTGCAGTAGGTAGGTTTCGAACCTACGCTGCCATGGAGAATCTGATTTCTAGTCAGACGCCTTAATCGAGAGACCAAGGCTAAATTTGGCATTATATTGTTCTAAATATATGCACTCAATCCCCATAATTGACAAAATTTTCTGGACTGAGCTGCTAATTACAAAAATTATATTTCAAGCAAAACAATGGCCGTTTGCATTAGGTAGGTTTCGAACCTACGCTGCCATGGAGAATCTGATTTCTAGTCAGACGCCTTAACCGACAGACCAATGCTAAATCTGTTTGAAAGTCGAACTATTTCTGGTGATGTGCTATGCGCTGAAATATAAGTCCATTATATTTTTATAAATTTATGTACTCAATCCCCATATTTGAGAAAAATTTCTGGGCTGAGCTGTTAATTAAAAAATATATATTTCAAGCAAATCAATGGCCGTTTGCAGTAGGTAGGTTTCGAACCTACGCTACCATGGAGAATCTGATTTCTAGTCAGACGCCTTAACCGACAGACCAGAGCTAAATCTGTTTGAAAGTAGAACTATTTCTGGTGATGTGCCATTTGAAATATAAGCGCATTATATTGTTTAAAATGTACGCACTCAATCCCCATAATTGACAAAATTTTCTGGACTGGGCTGCTAATTACAAATATTGTATTTCAAGCAAAACAAATGGTCGTTTGCAGTAGGTAGGTTTCGAAGCTACGCTGCCATGGAGAATCTGATTTTTGGTCAGACGCCTTAACCGACAGTCAAAGGCTAAATATGTTTGAAAGTCGAATTATTTCTGGTGATGTGCCATGCGTTGAAATATAAGGCCATTATATTTTTATAAATTTATGTATTGAATCCCCATATTTGAGAAAAATTTCTGTTCTGAGATAGTAGATGTATAGTGCCGATATAAGCAACAGAAACCGTACATAACCTCAATTTCCTAACCCCCCCGCAGCGGGGGCCCCCCGCGCGTGGCGTCCTAGTGTCCCCCCTGTCTACCAGAGTGCGCTCCGCCCCCCACCCAGCTTGTGTAGTGTCCTGTTTTGCCCCGGTTCCGCCCGTCGCTGCTAGATGTCGCCAGCTTGTGTAGCGTCCTGTTTTGCCCCGGTTCCGCCCGTCGCTGCTAGATGTCGCGCGCTCCGACCGTCGTAGGCCCCCCCGGTAGAGGGCGGTGACGGTGCGGCGCGGTGACGCGGTGGATCGGGAGGATAATTAAATAAACTTGAATTTTAATACATTTTATTTTATTTTATTTATAAAATTGGTCTGGCGAGGAGTTTCTTCTTCTTTTTATGTCGATTCAGTCGACCATCCCATTGTTCCTGTTCCTTGCGTTGTTCTTCTTCCCGTTCCCGGAGGAAATCTAAATACGAAGTGCACTCCTCGCCGTCCCACTCCGTCGACCACCCACCCGGGTACTCCTGCTGCTCCTTTGTTTCTTTTGATCCACCGGGTTGCTCCTGCTGCTGGTGATGTTCCCTTGTCGTTTCATGTCGTACCGGGAATTCTAACCCCCGGTACTCTTTGTGTGATTTGAATATGTGACGCCCTAAGCGATGCGCCAACATAATATGCGACTTGTTATACGGACAAACCGCGATTTTTTCTAGAACAAAACAAAGTATGATATGTAGCGTTTCCTATAAAACACACATTTTTTTTTTTTAAACAAAACTTCCAAAAAGGGGGGTTATCAAATAATTTTAAAAATTGTTTTTTAAGTTATACGCGCATACTAAAATTCACGTTTCAATTCACTGTCATTTAAATGTAAGTGTATTATTGTCAAAAGGGCAAACTGCAATTTTTTAGTACAAAAAATAAACAAAAATATGTATATATTTCGCGTTTTCCCCATAAAACGCACATTTTTGAAACAAAACTTTCAGTAATTTTAAAAATTGTTTATTTTTTAAAAGCCAAAATTCCCTATTCACTGTCATTTAAAAGATATTAAAAACGCTCAATTTAATTCGATTATTATTGTCAAAAAGGCAAACTGCAATTTTTTAGTACAAAAAATAAAACATTTTTGAAACAAATTTAAAAATTGTTTATTTTTTAAAAGCCAAAATTCCCTTTTCCATTCACTGTCATTTAAAAGCTATTAAAAACACTCAATTTAAATCGGTTATTATGCAACGTAAAAAAGATGAGTATCATATTTTAAAAACAGGTAGAAACTAACCAAAAAAGTGATAACCCAAACTGAAACCCACAAGAAAAGACGCGCACTGTATAAAGGTAATTAAAATATAAAACTTACCAGTTGTAGGGTCGTAGGGAAATGGACATCGCACTTCTGTATTCATTGCACTGAATATAGTCTATAATACACATGCAACGTATTTATACACATGCACTCCCTTCCATGGTTGAATTAAAAGTCGAAAGGTCTTCTACCCACAAGCACCAACGCCGATTTGAATAGACGCGATGTTGTCGCCAGACAACCGTGCAGGTAGGAGTCTCAAGGTCAACACGCTTTCACACGGGAACGCAACCGTTTCGGACGTTGGACGAACGTATGTTGCCGCAAAAGATCAAGGCCAACTTGCTTTCATTTTTTACAATCTCCGTATGGGATGTGGAATTTCAAAACGCGCCGAGTCTAAATGTCAAGTTGTTTTGCTTGTTGAGAATAATAATTAATTGCCCCCTTTATATTTGCTCCGTGGGATTAACGTAATGGGAAAAATTTGTTGCAACGCATGTGGAGGTGTCTTCGTTTGTTAACTTTTAGAAAGTATTCTCGCACCGTATAAATACATCTCATTTTTCTCTGTTTTGTCAGTAGTTGTTTTTGGTATTATTCGTGCAACGTGGAAGCTAACTTAGTGGTTTGGTGTTCGTACAAAAAAGCAGTAAGTACCTTTTTTATTGTCTTATTTTAATTCTTTAACATTTGTTATTATTTTATAAAGGTCCTAAAGATCATCTTAGTACTCTCAACCCGTAACCGCAAATAGAATAGCAGCAATCTTAAGCGTAAGTTTTTTTTTATTTTTTTAATTTTGAGATAAAATAATTAATAATAATTTATAGATGGACTTAAGTCAACTGAATCAAACCTGTCTTGCAGAAGGTGATTTTGAGCAGCCGATTGTCAAACTGCATGAATTGCCGATAGGCGTTCCGTTTAAAATTACTAGAGCCAAAATTGTTAATACAAAATTTGGCAATTCCGTGTTGCTGCAATTAGAAAATTCCGTAGTATTTCTTCCTACTCGCGTGACAGAAGCTTTCCGTCCGAGACTAGAACACTTTGCGTCGGGGCAGTACAAACTGGTCTACGAGGGATCCAAAGATATTGGAAAGCCCAACTCTTTAAAGAAATTCAAAATAATTCAAAATTAATCAACATATTATACAGGGTAAGTCTTATTTACTGTTATATATTTAATAAACCACGATGCGCGTAAAGCAGATCATTCATAGAGCGCAAATCTTAATTTTAACCTTACAAAAATTAAAAAAGCATATTTCCGACAAGTTCACTCTTAGAGATAGTGATGTGTGGCTTAGGAGACTAAATAAAAATATTGAATCTTGCAACCAAATCGTTTCTAACGAAAAGGATTTATCTATTGGGTTAAAAAGAAAATTACAAACTACAATTCAACATCTGAAAGCTATTAGAAAAATTATTCTTAATTATCAACATAAGCATTTTGGATTGGGATTACAAAGTAGTAGCCGCGAGACAAACACAAATGAAATGGTTGTATGGGAATCGGTAGCGTCGTGTTTCCAGGGAAGAGTTCAGACTGGTGTCATAATTAATTTACTTCATAAAGATTTAATTCAATTTTTAAACGATTCTCGTCCAATATTTCAACAAAAAATTAGTCAAATTTTAAAGAAATTTTTATTGCTGAAAGTAAATACCACATTTTGCGGTGAATTTATTAAGGCAAAAAATGATGTCCAAGGCGAAGTTGATGTTAAATATCTGAGTACCGGAAATGCTGTAGTTGATTTAGGAACAGAATTGAATGATTGGTTTGTTGAAAATGTGCAAGATAAAATTTTAAATCAAATGTCAGAGTTTCAGGAACGTGATTCCGGGTGGGCTTTAAATAATATTATTTATTTAGAGATTAACATTAATAAATTTGAAATGGGTAACGGGTCATCCTTCGTTGAGTTGCCTAAAGAAATTGCGAATAAAAGGGCTTGTATTAACATTAGAAATGACGATCAAGCGTGTTTTTATTGGTCAGTTGTATGCGGACTCTTTCCAGCACGTTTTCGTCAGTATTTACCCTCTTCATATCCATACTACAAAAGTGTTTTGAAAACTGAAAATTTACAAACACCTATGGAAATGAATAAAATAAGCAAATTTGAAAAAGACAATGATATTTCCATCAATGTTTATATCTTAGAGCTTAATAAAAATGAAAAAACTAGTTTTTATTCCGTGTTACCTGCACGATTAACAAAAGAAAAACGCGAAAAACATTCAAATTTGTTGTTAATACAAAATAAATATTATCCAAAAGTTAATGATTTTGATCCTGATCCGCAAGATAATGATTATGAAGAAATAAAATATCACTATTGTTACATTAAAAATTTGTCTCGATTAGTTTCCTCACAGCTCAGTAAATATAATCACAAGAAATACATTTGCGATAGGTGTTTGAATTATTTCAATAACGAAACTCGTCTACATGACCATGAAACAATATGTTCCAGTTTCAATGAGTATAAAGTGTCTTTTCCCAAATATGATTACGTTGAATTTCGAAACCATATATATAAACAAAGGACTCCGTTTGTAATTTACGCCGATTTTGAGAGTCAATTGAGAAAAGTAAATTTGAAAATTTCAGATAAAACCTCGAAATACCAAAAGCACGAAGCTTACAGTGCTGCATATTACTTTAAATGTTCTTATGATGATTCAATATCATTTTTCAAAAGTTATCGTGGTCTAGATTGTATTGATTGGTTCGTGGAGGAAATATCTAATTTATCAAAATTTGTTCGTTCAAAATTTAAGGATATTATACCAATGGATAGTGAAATTAGTCTAGATCAAAGGTCGAGTCATTGTCATATTTGTGAAAAACCTTTTTTAAAAGAAGATGTTATTGTTCGTGACCATGATCATTTTACTGGTAAATTTAGAGGTTTTGCCCATCAGGCTTGTAATTTAAATTTTAAAAAAATATTTGTAGTGCCCGTAGTATTCCAGAACCTTTCTGGATACGATAGCCACTTCCTGCTTCCGGTTTTAGCAAAAAAAAGCTATGTATCCATAGTTCCGGTTAATAAGGAAAAATACATCTCTTTTACATATTTCGAACCTGATTATAACATAAAATTTAGATTTATAGATTCGTTTAGATTTTTGGGAGCATCTCTGGATAATTTAGTTTCCAGTATGGATAAAAATGAACTATATATTTTAAGAAAAGAATTTTCCGATCTCGACGAATCAAAATTAAATTTACTGTCGCAAAAAGGTATTTTTTGTTACGATTACATCGACCATATAGACAAATTAAATGAAACAACTTTACCCCCGATTGAAGAATTCTATAATAAATTAAGTGAAAGCAATATTAGTGAAGAAAAATATTCCCACGCACAAAGTGTTTGGCAGTCGTTTGAAATAAAAAATTTAGGCGAGTATTCAGATTTGTATTTAAAAACCGACGTTATTCTTCTGGCAGATATATTCGAAAATTTTCGAAAAACTTGTATGGCAACACACGTTTTGGATCCGGCGTGGTATTTCAGTATGCCCGGGTATACATGGGATTGCATGCTTAGATTCACAAAATGTCGTTTAGAACTTTTGCGCGACATTGACCAAATTATGTTTATCGAGCGGGCTATACGAGGTGGAATTTCGGTGTGTGTTGGTAGATATGCGGAGGCCAACAATAAATATATGCCCAACTACGATTCATCCAGGGATGATTCCTATATCATGTACTTTGACGTCAATAACCTCTATGGCAAGGCCATGTGCGAGCCTCTTCCTTACGGAGGATTCGACTGGATGTCTCATCAAGAGATTGATTCATTTAATGTCATGAACATTCCAGATGAATCTTCCCAAGGATATATCCTAGAGGTAGACCTGGAATACCCGCAGAAATTACATGACACACATAGAGATTTTCCATTTTGTGCCGAACATCGAGTGCCCCCCAATTCAAAGTTACCAAAACTAATGACTACTTTGTATAATAAAGAAAAATACGTCATACACTATCGCAATTTAAAACAGGCTCTCAAAAACGGTCTCGTACTAAAGAAAATTCACAAAATATTAAAATTTAACCAATCTCGTTGGTTGAAATGTTATATCGATCATAATAATAAATTAAGAACCCAAGCAAAGACAAAATTTGGTATAAATTTATACAAATTGTTTAATAATGCCGCTTACGGTAAAACAATGGAAAACATTCGCAAGCATCGTATTGTTAAATTTGTTAAAGCGTGGGATGGTCGCTACGGTGCGAAAAATTTAATTTCTAGTCCTAGATTTCACAGTAGAACCATACTTGATAACAATTTGTTGCTTATAGAATTAAAAAAATCGGAACTTTGCTTTAATAAGCCACTTTATATTGGAATGTCCATATTGGATTTGTCGAAAACGACCATGTACGAGTTTCATTATAATTACATGCTTCCAAATTTGGGTCCCGAAAAATGTAAAATTCAATACATGGATACGGACAGTTTCATTTATAATATCAAATGTTATGACGCATATGAAAGCGTTATTAAGGCCGATTTAACAAAATTTGACACGTCTGATTATCCTAATGACAATCCCTATAATATACCGCAAATCAACAAAAAGGTTTTGGGGTTGATGAAGGATGAGACTAATGGCACCATCATTAGTCATTATGCTGGGTTAAGGTCGAAAATGTATACTTTCAAAATTTTAACGGGTTCGGTAGTTAAAAAGTCAAAGGGTATTCAGTACAATATTGTAAAAAATAAAATTTCATTTGATGACTACGTAGAATGCTTAACAAATTTTAGGGAAAAGTACGCCACTCAACGAACCATTCGTTCATACACTCACAATGTATTTAGCATCGAACAAACAAAAGTTGCCTTGAGTCCTTTAGACGATAAACGTTATCTTTTGCCGAATTCATATGAAACGCTTCCGTGGGGACATTATAAAGTGCCGTAATTATTTTTTAATATATTTTTGTTACAGATTATGGTCAAACAACTTACATTAGAAAGCCTTTGTATTATAACAATTTGCGAAAATATTAGGTGTAGTGCTGATTTTTTGCGTGAGTCACCTTTGCCTTGGAAACTAACGATACTAATATTTAAATATTATTCGAAATATAGATGGAGGTACCTTAAACAACTAGCGCTCCAGTCTGATGGCAATTCTTTATTAAATTTAGAATTCATTCTGTTGAATAAGAGATTTGGATCGTCTTACAGAAATAGCATTTTGGCAACTCCAACCATTGATTTTGACGGAGAATCCGCTTACTGTTTATGGGTCAGTTATTACAGGATAAAATATTCGGAAATTTTAGTTTGTAAATCTTGTCACTTTATATTTCAAGTAGTTAAAAAATTTAAAAAGAAAAATTTTAGACTTTTATTGGATCACTATCATTTACAGCTGGATATAAATAATTTGAATGATGTATATCACGATAAACAATTTTGGTGTCAAAGCTGCTTTGAAGAAGTTTTGTTCACTGTAGAAACTGAAGATGAATGTAATTTAATGCTTCACAATGAGAGGAAATATGGAAAAAAGTTACGCTTTTCTGATAGTCCATTGAACTATTAATACTGTGGTTTTATTATAACATATGTAACTGTAGATAAGACTTTTATGTATTGATTGTATTCCATTGTATTGCAACAAGAATAAACATGTATATATTTAGACGCTATTTTCTTTTTTACCACCACCACAACACCGCATAATAATTACACAGAAGTTTGTAATTGTATAATTTATTTATTATATACATTATTACTATTTTACAATTTCGTTAAATGCTAAATTATTAAATTGTTCTAGTTTTCTTTTGCACTCTTGAGCTTGCATCCGCGCCACTTGCAAGTCTGTATTAAAAAGCGCAATTTGTGTTTCAATTTCGTTGATATTGCACTCTAATCCCGACAACTGAGACGCCAAGTTTCTTTTTAAATTGAATGCCTCACAAATGACACTTTTTTCTCTACCGTCCGTGAACACTTCGAGCCAATCAGCGGATGACGTTGGAGCTGCAAACGCTTCACTTGTGGTAGTTTTCTTCTTCTTCTTGCGGGATACGACCGACGCACTTTGTTTTCGTTTGGTCGCAGATTTTTTGGTTTGTTGCTCTACAGGAACGAAGCTGGACGGGAGCACTTCTGATGAAGGAAATTGCAACTCGAAATTTTCCAATAAATTATACAATTCGTTGGATGTCACAATTTTCTCTTGAGCCATCATATACACGTATTTATGTCAGAACTTCTAAATCGAGACTAAATTTATTTCAAAACGTCTACGTTGTCTACCCACGAATCGTGCGACTTATCCAATCCCAACCAGCGCACGAGAACCATATTGCCTCGTCTGCGCAACACCTTTTCGACGAGATATAAGTCCGGGTTAACTGTCTTCTGCAATTCTTCTTCATAAAATCCGCCCATTATGGGTTTACCCTGCATATCTTGAAGCAAATACGTTACGGGGTTAGTAACCCGTACTTTAACAATTTTAAACAATTCCGTGGTCCAATTCGGTGTATAACCTTTGTTGAAAACGTGCTTGACTTTGCTGATTCTAACGATGTCGCCGACTTTAAGTTTACGAGGACCGAATATTTTTATGCTACTATACGCGGTTTTCAAAATTCTCTTTTCGTTGCTCTTACTCACATCGATGGGTTTCGTACCCGTCGTTCTATGTTTTGTGTTATTGTATTCATCAACGATAGAGGCGAGCACATCGATCCATTTGTACGTCCCGCGTAAAGAAAAATGTCGAAACAATTTCTCTTTGAGGGTACGTATCACCCGTTCGACAATTGAGGCCTTTTTTATGCTATACGTACTATAGTGGTTAATTTTATGCTTATCCACAAGTTTCAGAAACGTGTCGTTGTAAAATTCTTTACCGAGATCCGTTTGCAAGTTTTGAGGGTGCCGTCCGTCCTTGAGAATTTTGGAAAACGCCTTGGCGACTTCGACCCCGGTTTTGGTTTTCAACGGGCGACACCATACATATTTTGAGAAACAGTCTATCACAACCAGCACGAATTTAAAATTTCTGTTTTGTTTGCTGTAGCGATCTAATTGGGCCAGATCCGCTTGCCACAGGTCATCCATCCCTCGTATTATAGTCCGGCGGCGAGCATAATTTCTGCGTGCCGGCTTGTGCAGTTCTCGAACCAGTTGTACGTTCTCTTTATTCATAATGTGTGTTCGGTTGCGATGGAGGATTTAAAACCCTTTGTTTCAATACCTTCATTATATTCTCATTTTCGTTCGTAAGTCGCTCCATTTTGGTTACAATATCATGAAATTGCTGTGACAAAACGGCGACTTTTGTCATGTGCTTTTCCAAATCTTTCTTTGCGCTCATTTCGCTTAGCTTTTGGTGGAAAACTTCGCGAAACTGCATAATTTCATTTTCGAGTGTAGTGCTACTCATTTTCAGTTGTTCTTCAAGACGCGAGAATTTAGTTTTGTCTTCAATTTGTAATCTTTTCGTGTACGCTTCGAGTTTCTGTCCAATAATCTTTCTCAATGCAATTTTTAATAAATTACTTGTCTCATCCACATATTTTTTGTTAGCCACGTCACCGTCATCGCTAGGCGTTTGGACATTGCAAATTTTTAAATTGTTCATATTGACGTTTCCGTCTGGCATATAGTCGAGGGCGCTTCTAATCACAGTATTAGTGAAGGGTCGTTTAGAGCGCAGCGCGCTAGAACGTCCAAACTTGTCCAGACTCATCGTTAAACTAACGTATAAAACCTGATTCTTTTAGCTCTTCAACGATTGAAACTATTTCGTTATCATGAGACGTGTTGCCTGCGTGTTTCGACGCGATTAGTAATTTCAGACGCTCTACGAGTTCATTGACGTCGTCCCAGTATACATATTCAGTAGGAGCGTCATTATAACGCATATTATAACCTTGACCGCTGTACGAGTACGAACGCGACTGAGATTTTATTAAGGGTCGGATGACCTTGGTATATTTTGGTACAGTCGATGCGCCTTTCAAACGTCCGATCGCGTCCCTGTGCACCTGGGTAGCCTCCATTATTTTTTTATATTGTGCCAAATCGTCTTTTGTGTATGCTATGGGATCTTTCAAAAACACCAAATTATACAAGCCGCGGGTACCGGAATATCTCTCGCCGTCTACAATAATATCGCCAGATCCTTGATGAAAATCCAGCGATTTATTGCCGAGAAACCATTTGGATGATATTTTGTCGTAAACGGGTCCGTAAACAATATCGGTGTCGGGCGATTTTACCCATAAATTTTGAATATATGAATGGGAAATTTCTGGATATTGTTCCAGGTATGATTGAAGGGATGCGTTGGCCACGCTCGATGTGTCAAACACATCATCTTCCTCCTCATCGATATTTTGCATCTCAACGCTCTTATTGGGATCCGGCGTTTCCTGAATTTCTTCCATAGGCAAAAATGATACGTTAACCTTATTTTTTGTTTCTTCGTTCGGTTCCTTTTTGTGTTCCCGCTTGACACCTCGACGTTCAGTTTTTATTTCTGCCGGTGACGGTGATAGCTTTATTTTTGCTATACGTTCTAGCGGCTCGCTGACGGGTTTGAAAAGCTTCCGAATTGACGCATCCTCTTCGCTCTTACCCAATTTTAATGTTAAATACTTCTTTCGAATAGATCTAGACAACTCGTTTACTTTTTTTTTTAGCGCCGCGTCGGCGATGTCGGCGGACGTCGCCTTCATGACTGTTTCTATCGACAATTAAATATCGACTTTTATATATTTATCGAAACCCTTGCGGTAGCGTCCGTTTTTTACGTCGAAATCTTTGACAATTATCAAACAGCCGTACTTTTCTTTCCAGCACTCGGAACAAATTTGTTTAAACGTGTCGTATGAAACGTCGGGTGAGACATGTTCATCATAAACGTGACGTAAATTCATGTCATCCTGTTTAAACAACGCGACAATATTGCAATTGTCACGTATCAATTGCTTGGGTACCTTGGAGTATGTCTGACAGAGATAAATAGCGTCGATGGCCTTGTGTCGGCACATCGAAAAATACTCGCGAATTTTATCTTGCTTGTCGCACGCCACGTCGTCGAAAATAAACAGAGAATTCTCTTTCGCGTCGCTGGGGTCGATTATCGAGTCTCTTTCACTGTAGGGATAATATCCAACTCCTTTGACATTGCTCAATACGCGAGATAACAGTTGATATTTTGGTTGATACAACGACTTTGAGTAGACGTAAACATTTTCGAAACTTGCCCCGTTGGGGTTAAAGAGTAGCGCTAACATGGTGTTGGTTTTGCCGCAACCGCTAGGTCCGCAAAACACCGCCCTAAATGAATTGGGTAGCAGTTGACCGTGTTTGCTTTTGTTAAAGAAACCATCTCCGCAAACCAAATCTAAATTATCGATGGGGAGCTTGAGTTTCTGCTGCACCACCCGCATGACTACAATGTTTATTCGAGACACCTCGTATATATATACGACACAAGCAATTTCCTTTAATTAGTATGTTATGCTTCGCGTCCGGAAGTGGTCTCGTTAACACGCTTATTAACAAGTTACCTTTTGAAGTACACATTCCGGGTTACCAGTTTTGCGGTCCCGGTACAAAATTGGAAAAACGCTTGAACCGAGGCGATAGCGGGGTGAATCCTTTGGACGCTGCGTGTAAGGTACACGACATTGCCTATTCGCAAAACAAATCGTTAGACGAACGTCATAAAGCGGATAAAGAATTGGAAACGCGTGCGTGGCAGCGAGTAAAATCTAAAGACGCAAAGTTTGGTGAAAAAGCTGCCGCATTCTTTGTCACCGCGACTATGAAAACTAAACGTAAGCTCGGTATGGGTCAACAACGGCGTCCCTCTGTTTCGTTTCGACAGGGTGTCGTGAAAAAGGTTCGCAATGCATTAAAGAAGAAACAATTGTTTCATATCGATAACCCTAAAATGCTTAGAAGATCGGCACTGGAAGCGCTTCGAGCTGGCAGAGCCGCTGTAAGAAAAGCGGGAGGACGTAAAAAAATTAGGGTACCTAGAATTATACCGTTCGAATCAAAATCGGGCGGTATTTTACCACTTTTACCGTTATTAGGAGCGCTAGGGGCTTTAGGTTCGCTCTCGGGCGGAGCCGCTGCTATCGCTAAAACTGTCATCGATGCGAAAAACGCACGAAAGAAACTCGAAGAGGACAACCGCCATAACCGAGCTATGGAAGAGATTGGAAAAAAGGGATCGGGTCTATTCTTGAAAAAGAGTCCGCGCGGCGGATTCGGTCTTTATCTGAAGAAACAAAAAAACTCCCAATAAAGCTACCCAGAAGGGCTCTATACGACGTCGATTTAATATCTCTGGCGCGCAAATTAAAAATTCCTCACTTCAGGGGTGTTTTTATGCGAGATAGTTTACCCCGTCGAATCAGATCGCAAGAATGCGGAATCGTAAATTTGGATGTTCGTCGAAATAGAGGAACCCACTGGGTAGCATACAAAAAGAGGAAGGGAAACGATGTTGAGTATTTTGACAGTTTCGGTAACCTTAAACCACCCGCGGAACTTGTTAAATATTTCGGCAACAGCGCCAATATCTACTATAATCACGATAGATATCAAAAGTTTACGCAATACAATTGCGGTCATTTGTGTTTGCAATTTCTCTATAAAAAGGACTGAAATCGCG